GTACTGGTTCATATAAAGTAGCGGTATTTATTTTCTCCAAGATCAACTTGCCCTACAACTCCCTCCAAACATTTTTGTCCTACAGCAAGAGTGACAAAGTATAGCCACATGCAGCACTCAGGGTCACTTTTGTGCCCCCCATAGAGCTGAAAAAATTTAAAAGATATTTTCCCCCAAAATGCTCTTGAACCAAACTGGGAACAGTTAGGCACTCTTATGCAGGGATATAAATTTTGTTTCATTCTCAAGGACAAGAACGAAGAAAGCATTTGAAACATTTTCTCCCATCTGGGCAAGATTGGCCTTTTTTGAAACAGGAAATGACATGAAATTGACTTGCACTCAAGTCTTACTGTTGTAAACAAAAAAATCACTCTCTTAAGCCAAGGAGGCTAAAAACATGACAAAAATGGTTCACAACCCTTATGGGGAATTGAGATCAAGAAAAATTTGAGGGAGTCATGGGCCAAATATCTGGAGAGTTAATATGCCCCTCTAGCCTTCCAGAGTTGTCCATCTCTGACCTACAGCTTCCATTTGCCCCTGCCATCATAGCTTATACTGAGGTATTATTGGAGTTGCATTTGAACTTGCAGAGAGTGGGATGTTGGGGGACTGGGGTTAGTCAAAATGAATTGCCCAGGAGTCTTTTGGAGTGAGTGAAATAAAAAGCCTCTGCAGAAGGGTGGGAGATAACATTAATCTGGTACAGCCTCCATAGCTTTAAGGTTAGAGTGTAAAAATATACCTGGAATATTTTCATTCCCAAAATAAAGGGTCTTGATGTGTCCAGAAAAAATAATCAACTACAACTGAGTGATTGATTTGCATTTCAGAACTTTTGCATTATATATAACATTTCCTTCTCTGTCAAAAACCTTTTTGTGCAGCAATGTATTTTGTGTAAAACTTTTTAAGCACAAAATGTTTTTTGCACAAATAATTATTTTGCCCCAAAAAGTCCCTATATACCAAAAAAAACCACCAAAAACTGATCAATGTATACAAAATTGATTGTATTCTTGCCAAGATGGGAGAAAAGTTTTCCAAAGCTTTGCCCTTGCATGTGAAAATGAAACAAAAATTTACATCACTGCATTTTGTTGTTGCTGCTGTTGTCTGCCTTCAAGTTATTTGCAACTTATGGCAACCCTAAGGCAAACCTATCATGGGTTTTGGTTTTTTTGGGGGGAGGGGGTTGCAAGATTTGTTCAAAGGAGGTTTGCCATTGCCTTCCCCTGAGGCTGAGAGCATGTGACTTACCCAAGGTCACCCAGTAGATTTCATGGCCAAGCTGGGAATCTGGTCTCCAGAGTTGTTGTCCAGCACTGAAACACTATACCATGCTGGCTCTCACATCCCTGCATGCTCCGAGTTTGGATCAAGAATTTAAGTAGCCAAGGAAATGAGGCAGGCTTGCTACCCTAAAGTGATGTATGTACAACTTTTCCCTGCTGTCTGCAGCTTCATCTGATCACATCATGAATGGATGGGAAATTTCATCCAGTAGGCCCCACAGAACAATGGGGAGGTTGCATCAGAAAGAGCTGGAGAGGGAATGAAAATGATGAAAAATCAATGCATTCCTCCCTCTCTTTCTGGCAGTAGGAGTGTTCAGAGTGAAAGTTCACTTGTAGATGGGATACTGCCATTGACCAACAGAAGCACTGGACTCAAACCCAGTGTTCCACATCTT